AAAAATTCTCCTACAACACACACACCAACTTTCAATGGAGTAATTTGGCTGTAGGAAGGTACAGACTTGCTTTCTTATGAATCCTATATCAGTATCCTTATGACCCAGGTCACTAGCTGGTAGTTTTAATTGCTACTGAGCCGTTCCTCAAGCATCACTGCTCTTCTGCTCATCTACATAAATGCAATAATAATACCTCCCATGTTGAGCCCCTGCAGAGTGCCAGACATTACACAAGGTGTGCAGTGCCCACAATCTCACAACTACCCAAGGAAGGAGGCATTAATAACTCCCTTTTGCAGGAAGAGAAACAAGGAAAAAAGCAACTCTATGATCATATGGTAAAGGGCAGAGCTGGGACGTGAACGGAGATCTCTGAAATTGCCAAGTCACAACACCTCTGCCCCCAAAGGTGAAGTCCGAAGCATCCTGCTTATCTCTATGAACAAGCATATACTGCCTGTAAGGCAACAGACACACTGATAAACCACAGGCTGGACACATAGTTCCAGCTTCCACGACTCCTGTAACAAAATGACCATGTCCGCTTGTGCTTACAAAATATTTTATTTTAGAATTAAACTATGTATTTCCAACCCTTTCCACGATTAACTTTTCTCCTTTCTGAAAGTAATAAATACTATCTACCTAGATAAGGCTGAGAAGGTGTAACAGGAAAAGAAAGTAACTTTCAACACTGTGAATGCATCCTTCAGCAGCCGAAACCTCCTACCACCAAGAGCTATAGCAGCACAAAGCGGAGACCTCTGACCAGGCATCATACAGAATTCTTGGGGTGTGTGTGTGACTTCCCACATGGCACGTACCACACAGGGAGAAACATATGATGCCGTGGAGAAAAAAAATTGTATTTAGATAGCCCTACCCACACATATTTCAAGAGTGACTCCATGTTTTTGCTCTAATGTTAATCCAACTATCTCTAAAGGGAATTTCAGAAATTATTCCGGGATTTGCACAATTACCCAAGTGTGATTTTTTTTTCTCAGAGCACTAGTTGGGTGGTTGATTCTTTTTGTCTGCTGTTCTGCTCTGTTCTTTCCTAAGCTCCAGTCACTTCACTTAGGGGAAGCACAAGGTATGAGGCCACTGTGGCCTTGCGGCACCTGGACCACTGCCCTGACAATGGTTAAGTTGGCTCTTCTAGGCAAGACATTAGGAAACTCCAAGCAACACTAGGCAAAATGGAATGAATGGGTCAGATGCATGTGAATTAAAATGTACAAATCCAGATCTGACCCAGGAATAGACTCAAATCATATACTTTAAGATGGGTGGGACAGTACCATCATGTTAAAAGAAGTATAAAAATATGTCTAAAGTACTCAACAATGACCAGATATTATTATAATTATTAACGATTTCATACTATTACGGAAGGTTTTGTCTGTTTTTTTCTTCCATGTATTATTTAATTTTTTAACGTTTATTCATTTTTGAGGGACAGAGCGAGAGAGAGAGAGAGAGAGAGAGAGAGAGAGAGAGAGAGAGGGGAAGAGGCAGAGAGAGAGGGATTTACAGAATTTGAAGCAGGCTCCACACTCTGAGCTGTCAGCACAGAGCCCAATGACGTGCGGCTGGAACTCACTGACCGGTGAGATCATGACCTGGGCCAGGCACCCCTTTCACTTATTATTTTTAAGAAAAAATCAGAATGGCCACTCAAGTAATGATAAGTAATTGTGGAGATCTTTAAAATTTTCAGTTTCTATCGATGTGGGAAAGTCTATCACTGGATGTTCATTTTGAAGGTAAGCAACATTTATATTATTTCATATTAAACTATAGTTTTTGTTTTGCTCTTAACACTCAAGAGCCACACAAGACCTACATAAAAGAGGTCTGATATCACTTACCACTTCTCTGTAAACTTCTTTCTATAGGAAAAAAAGAAAAACCTCAAGCATCAGTTTAAACACAATGGCACTTAATTTTAGCATCTATCATTAGGCCCAAAGGCTACAGCATATCCGTGCAGAAAAAGTTCAACATCAATGTTAGAGAATTAAAAAAAAAGAAAAAAAATACACAAGCTTCTGCAAAGGCCTGGCTTTGAAGGCTGCCTTGTCCAGATACAAAAATAGATGTCTAAAATGTAAAAATCGATTCTAATGGCAAACAGATCATTGCACTCTCCGTGACCAGGATATTAGGGAAACCTGAATATTTGATTTAGTAGCACCTTGGGAGCAAGCAGACCTGAAAACCCTCCAATAACCTTGAAAAAGATCCACTTCTTGTTTAGAATTGAATGCCCAAATCAGGTGACACCTACCCAGCCCCCTTTTGTCCCTGCAAGTGCAATGATTAGAAGGCATCTCCTCGCTGGAAGTGGTTGTCTTTCTTAAGCCAAGGGGTGAGGGGGTCCTCAGGGAATAGGCCCTCAGGTCCTCCCAAGGGGCTCTTGCTCTCTTGCAGGCGGGGGCGAGGTCCCAGGTCCTGGTACCTCCTTCACCTTCCCTTAGGTGGGCTTTCCACGAGGGTGGGGTAGGCAACAGGCTCAGACCCAGCTGGGGGCCTCCACCGCCCCCCCTCCCGCCGGCCTCCACCGCCCCCCTCCCGCCCCCACAGGCGCACAGGCTAGCCTCCCTTCAGTTAGCCCATAAGACCCACGGGAATTCAGAAACGAGAGCGGGAAAGGGAAGGTGGCCCGGGATCACAGGGCCGAGCCGGCTTTCCCGGGAGCTAGGGGAGCAGGCCTTGGGGCGGGGGTGGCGGGTGGGCCGGGGTTAGCGTCTGAGTTCCTGGAAGCAGCAGCTCTCCTTCCAGGAAGGTCCGGTCCCGCGAGCCGGCCACTGAGCGGGGCCCACGCGGCGCAGAGGAACAAGCCGGAGGGCGGGGGTCCTGCCGGACCGGGCCGGCGGGCAGCGCTCCCCGCTCTGCCCTGCACCCCGGGAGCCTCCGCGCAGCTCTGGAGTTGCCGGCTCGAGCCTCGGGGCGCGGGAGGTGGGCGTGCCGCGCGCCCTTTTCCCTCTGCAGGGCGGAGCTCAACAGTCTTCACTGATGGGCTTTGCGGTGTAGACCCCCGGATTATCGAAAGGACACGGCCCCAGCAGCCGCGCAACATTCCGGGCTGGCGAGCTAGGTTCTGCAAGGGCCGAAGCCCAGAGCGAGGTGGGTGGCAAAGGGCGGATAATCCCTGCTGTCACATCACTCAGGCAAGAGTGGCCTGAGCTGGCGGCAGGTAACCACCTGCAGAACTCCAGGAGGAGCTGCTACCCTGAGGAGAGGCTGAGAGGGAAAGAAGCTGGGGTGCGGGAAGAAGTGGGGGGGGGGGTGTGAGCTGTGGAGAGAGGAAGAGCCTGCCTTTTGACCCTCTGACCACTCCCCAGGCCTCCTGCCCAGTCTGCAAGGACAACCACAAATCAACCCTCATACTGAAAGCCCCTTGTTTAACTCAGGCACTGGCTTCCACTAGGCAAACAGTAAACGTGCCAGGCACGGTGCCAGGCGCTACAGATACACAGAAGATGCCCAGAGCCTATATGTATGTAAGGCACCAGACGTAGCCTGGTGCTGTTTTCCCCAAAATCACTCTCCCAAAAAGTCTTTTCCCTTTTCAAACTTAAGCAAACTGGTGGACAGAGGTCCACATCAACTTCGTGGATGCTGGGCTCCTCCTCTCCATGCTTGGTTATTGGTTATTAAGGACCAAGATCCCTGAAAAATGGTCCTGCCTTGAAACTCAAATAAATGGCAAAGGCAGGCGAGCACACGCATGCAGACCCCTCCAGCTGCTCAAGGATTTTGCATCTCTGCTGCAGACTATTTCCACCTGAAAGCTTTCTTTGGTTTTTCCGTGGGGTTTCTGGCACTACAAAATCCTCCCAGGTAGCTGGGATTGACCCCCTCGAAACACTCTAGAGCCCCCCTGTCGATTGCTCACACAAATAAAACCCTCAGCACAGGTGTGATCTTGAGTCCTCAACCTCTAGCAATCTGCAAAAAGCTGGTCTTTTCTCCGAAGGCCACGTTTTCTTTGTAAATGCAACTGCTACTTGGTAAAAGGTGCTCTGTTTTCTAGCTCTGGTGGGGGAAGTGAAAAGTTCGATGCTGTCAGTCATTCCTAGAAGTGGGATTCAGCGAAACAGGCACCTTCTATTAGAGGAGAAACGCAGAAACTCTCCAAGCAGGCTGCCAGTCTTTAGACGTGACACCCAGTTGCTTTTAATACCCAGCAGGCCCTGTAGAAATAGTGAGATCCTTTACTGGGAGTGGAAGAGGCTCACTTCTGGCCTTCCCTTAACCCTCCCCCTTCCCAGGGAGCCCCAGTCTGGCTCTCTGACCCTTTAAAGATCTGTTAGGGTGGGTGTTTGGAGGGAGGAACTGGGACTTGGTCCTCCATAGGACCCCAGCATCCAGCGCTTTTGTTAGAGGGACTTTGGTGGAATAAAAGAAAGTAAGCAAGCTCAGGACATTGTTTCCCTATACCTTCCTCCTCCTTTTCTTTTCAGAACGACCGGAGTCCTTCACTTCTTCCGTCACTGTTGTTGGGCTATAGAGTGGGGGCGAGATGGCGTCCATACCTTCTTCATGCACCATGTGCTGTGCGTCTGGGGACAGGGGGCTGAGGGGACCCTGGTAGGATCCTGCACTGTATCTGGGAAGACGGTTTACAACGCCTTCCAGCTAAATTTGCATCCTTTATGCACAAGGCAATACTCCACGAAACAAATTCCACGTGTAACTAAATTCAGCACAGTCTCCAACACATGCGGAACCTGGCCGCCAGGACCCTACACGTCACTAAGCGAGACCCCGATCTTGCGCCCCAGCGCGGGAAGAGAATCCCCTGCTATGGCACTCGACACAGCAGCAAGCGTCTGACTCCGCCGGCACCGGGACCTTGGCGCTGACTTCCCCAGTCCCTGAGCCCTAGAGCCCTGAACTTCCTTTGCTCCTTAGCCTGGCCCCCTCCCCAGGAGTCCCCCTCATCCCCCCCGCCCCTCAAGTAACCTCGGCTAGAGGGCCACACTCACCTACTGCCAGGCAGATGGGGAGCAGCAGCCTGAAGATGAGCCCGCACACTACTTCCGAGGCCATTGCGTTGGTCCGGCGAGTCCAAGCAGAGCGGCGAAGTTCGAGGGTCCCTAGGACTGGGGCGCCAGGTCCATGCCCACCTAGGACCTCGGGCGGCCGGCTGCCCGCAGCCGCCCGGGCATCGCCTCGGAGAGGACCGCCGCGCTGTCCGCCCCGAGGGCGCGTTCCCCGGGCTGTTGACCGCTCCTCGCCGGGCTCTCGGTCGCCCCTATCAGGTCCCTCCGCAGTGCCTCGCCCGGCGCTCGGCCGCCCCTAACCAAGCTCTAGGTAGCCCCCTCGCCCGGCGCCCGGCGCCCCCTCGGCCGGCCCATGAAGTGTGAAATCCCCCAATCCCCCCGGTGGCTGCGGCTTCTTCAGCGGGTGGCCGGGGCCAGAGCCCTGGACGGGGGCACTTCGGGAGGGTCCCGGGGGGCGGCACGGCGAGGAAAGGGGACTAGAAGGGGCTGTCGTTCCGTCTGGCTCCCGGGGCGTCGCTCAGGGGCGAAAGGAAGCTTTCTTTGCAGAATCCCCTCTGAAGCCAACGTGCGTCGGCTGCCGGGGCCCCGCCGCACCTTTGGCCCGGGCTCTCGTAGCTGCTGGCGGTCCCGAACCTTCTGGCGGCGGATCCCCGAAAGGCGACGCGGCTCAGCCTCTGCGCCCCCCAGCTTCGGGCCGAAGAGACCCGGGAGGGAGCGGCCAGGCGCGCACAACCATCCCCGCCTGCACGGGGCTCGAGTTATCGGTCCGCGGGGTGGCGGTGCGAGTCCCTCCCTCACCAGGAGGAATGGTGCGAGCGTGGGCAGAAATCGAGACCAAAGCACACAGCCAGTGGGGCCGACTCCAATTCCCTCCTCCACGGCCTCAATTTTAAAAAAAATAAAATGAAAACCAAACGCTGTCCGGATGCCAGCGCGCCCCCCGCCCGCCGCCGCCACCGCCGCCGCCGCCGCCGTGCAGCCTCGCCCTGGAGGCGCAGCCCCGGCTCCCGGGCGGGCGCGCACTTCTCCACCTTCTACGAAACTTTCGAAGCCTCACTCGGAGACGGGCGTGCCCCCGGGCCAATGGGACCGCGGCTCCGGAGCCGGCGCGCGGGGAGCCCGCCCCCCGCGCGGCGGCTCTCGAGGCGGGCGCAGGGCTCAGACGCTGCGGGCACGTCCGCTCCCGCAGCGCCGGCGCGCACGGACTAGCCGGGTCTCTCCAGCCCCGCGGACTTTTAAGCGTTCGTTCGCCCGGGCTCCTCGCTTTTCCACCGCTCCTCGCTCCCGCAGACCCTCCGCTCTGCTCCGTCCCGTCGTTCTGCAGAAACAGAAGCCACACCTCCTGGCATCCTGTCCACAGGGGGTGCCCCTGAGCTTACCCAAACCCAGAGAATCTTCGAGTGCTCCAGGAACACTGCACAGGCGTGGCACGGGGAGTAGTCAGGAGCTTGAACAACGTTGCGGGACTGTCACTTGTGCCAGGTTCTCTCGTGCCCACTTGCACTGCTGACGAATAGAACCGGAATCAACCCAGACCAATGATCCCGTCCATATTTAACTTGAGAGAAATTTCAACTCTGAGTGAATGGACTCTGGGAAATCCCGGGTCTTGCTGAGAAGGGGTATGGCGTTCAGATATGCACACACTTCATACATTTTGGAGAACTATTCTTTTCGCCTCAGCTTTGGTCGTTGCTTGTTATGATTCCTGGGAAAGAGAGTATACTGCTTCCCTTTTCTCCTAAAAATCTCCGTTTTCTTGTTTTCCAGAGGAGATCCAGAGAAATCTGGTAACAGCAGGGAGATGCCAGCGTATCTGGGATGTGTCCCATCATCCGAGAGTTGCGGAGATCTGCTCCTGCTGGAGCACTGTTGGAATTCTCAGAACCAGAATTTTGAATTTGTAGGGGGGGGGGGGACCATTCAGAATTGGTCTTTCCATCAAGAGGACAGAGAGAGAAGAATTTAACTTCATTCGGCACCGGTATTCTAGGCTTGAATTGGTTGGAGATGATGGAAAATCTGTTGATGAAAATTATACAAACCTTGGTTCTTTGTGTTAACCAGGTCTCCCTTTTTTGAGATAAAGTAAACTTGTATTTTAAGTTCAGATGTCTTGGGACACCTGAGTGGCTCAGTCGGTTAAGCCTCTGACTTTGGCTCAGGTTATGATCTCACAGTTCATGGGTTCGAGCCCCTGCATCCGGCTCTGTGCTGACAGCTCGGAGCCTGGAGTCTGCTTCAGTTTCTATGTCTCCCTCTCTCTCTTTTAAAAATGAGTAAACATTAAAAAGGTAATAAAGTAAAAATAAGTTCAGATGCCTTTGCAAAATCTCTGAGAATAACAAACTGTGAACCATTACTTTTCTTTGAAGACTGGAGGTAGCAAAATCTTGTGAAGACACTCTAAAACCTAGACCCTGTGTGTGCTTCGGAGCCCTGAAGAAGCCTGGATATCTAAATCTCAAATGTAGTCATGAGCCTAAAACTAGGAGTGAAGGAAACAATAGAAACTTACAAAATCAGCACATCATTGACTACTACCAAGAAATGTTTTGTGTTTGGTAGAATCTGCACCTTTCTGACATATCTAACATTTGATGTTCATAGATGGCGTTCTCCCTCCCTCTCTGGTACAACTTGTTCCTGGGACCTAGCTAAGAAGTCAGGAAGCCTTCCTGGATTTCAAATAGTATTGTGAAATGACATGAATGCTCAGTTGTCTCTGAATATTTTGTCACATTCTTGGTAGGCTTTCCAAATACCAACTGTGTAGGTATCCTCAAAATAACTATCTGGATGCTTAAGTTAGGAGACAAGAAACCCAGCGGAAAGGTGGGTATTTCTTGCTTTCTCTGCCACCAAGTGTGCCAAGATGTCTGTTCAGTTTTTAGAGATTCTAAGACCTGCATCCCACTTCTTAGTCTTACCAACACATATACTCACAGAGCTTTGTCTAGACTACACATATAAAGGATTCTCCATCCCAACTTCAAATGGCAGTTACCTGGGGAGCTTTTTAGGGACTCTAAATACTCAGCAGTCTTCACATCCAGAGATTCTGTTTGTTTGTTTTTTCGTTTGTTTTTAGAGAGTGAGCGAAAACATGCAAGCAGGGGAGAGGGACAGAGAGGCAGATGGAGAGAGAGAAAGAATCCTAAGCAGGTTCCATGCTCAGTGTGGAGACTAATGTGGCTCTCGATCTCACGGCCCCGGGATCGTGACCTGAGCCAAAATTAACAGTCACTCAGCTGACTGAGCCATCCATCCAGGTGCCCCTCCACATCCAGAGACTGTGCTTTAATAGTCCCACCTACCCCTCCATGCCTGTATTTTTGTGAAAGCTCTTACATGATTATCAGGTGTGCAGTCTGAGTAGAGAATCACTGTCCTCATTTACATATCAGAACTCAGGAAATGTCAGGGTGCCCGGGTGGCTCAGTCAGTTAAATGTCCGCCTTCGGCTCAGGTCATGATCTCATGGTTCATGAGTTTGAGCCCCTCATCAGGCTCTGTGCTGACAGCTCAGAGCCTGGAGTCTGTTTTGGATTCTGTGTCCCCCTCTCTCTCTGCCCCTCCCCCGTTCACCGTCTGTCTCTCTGTCTCTCCGTCAAAAATAAATAAATGCTAAAATTTTTTTTTTAAAAAAGAACTCAGGCAATGTGCTATTGGTTTTCAAAACCAGCATCACCAAACCAAATCCACCTTTCTAGAGCTACATTTTCGCAATGGGGTTATCCAAGCATGCATATCAGTAGTCAGTGGCATTGTCTGTACAAGGGCTGTTTTACCCTAACGTTTACCTAAATTGAGAAGCAGTATCTAATACCTAGACAGCCTTGTTTTTAAGCACTCTCCAGCCCACAAGAATATTGATCCCTTCGGTCAGGAGTCCTGCATGCTAGAGACCTTAATCCTCAATCCGAGCGTGAAACCTGGCATGAGGTAGAAAATACTTTGGGGAGAAAATCGACTACATAGAATACGCATGCACACATTGTTTTGATAGTCGATGAGTGTCTAAGCCTATGGCCTCACGTTTAGCACAGGTGATGAATCAAGCACCAGTCGCCCTGTGCCTCTGTATCTACGTGGACAATCCATCGATGGCTTCTTTTGATGACCACTGAGACTTTAGTGCCTCAGAGTCCTCATCTAAGTTGAAGAATGTGATAAAACCTACGAAATACGCAGTGCTATGCAGAGAGAGACAATCTATAAAGTGCTAAGCAAGGTGCCTGGTGCACTGTAATCATTCAATGAATATTAACTGCCATTACGACCACTATTATTACCACTGTCATGGCTATTATTGGAAAGCAAGGTCTGGTCCTGTATTTCTGAAACTGTCAAGCTGAAGTTCAGCAGCCTGCTCCGACGCTCAGAAACACACCCGCTCTTAGTAATATGTTTCAAACCTGTGACACAGGTGAGTGATAGACATTTTCCTAAGTGCTTGGTTTTCGCCATAAACAATATGGCACTTTGTGCCTTGCGTGGGTTTCATCCCACCGGTTTAGCTTTTATCTTTTCTGAACTCGGTTTAATGCCACACCGATTGATGAGATCATTCAGAAACACCAGCTTTGTCCCCAGTGCTAATTTTCTCTGACATGCTCAATATGCAAATACTGTTCTATATCGTGTGTTGCCCTATGTTGATTATTATTCCCTCAAATACTGGAAGATCTCGGGGGTGGATATTGTCTCAGATGGTAGCTTTACAAACCAGTTATTTCCCAGAGGAGCATAAAGGTTGTCAACCCGGCATTTTCTTCTCCCAGTGAAATCTGCTGGAATTCCTCAGCGCCATCTACGCCCATAGGGGATGTGGTGCCTCTTGGCAGCGGGAGGATGTCTTCTAGCATTGGTAACATAGGTTCTCCTTATGCATGTACCAACACATTTTTAGGTGTATCCATTTCTGTTTTTTTCATTTATAAGTCACAATATTCACTGAGAAGTTATTTTAGTTAGGAACCACATAGTTTGGGGCGCGCGCACACAAATATCTATGGGTAAGAAAGACCTCATATGAAAATGATGGAGGATGTAAAATTTTATTTATTTTTTTTGTAAGGTTGATACATAAAGGAAGAGATTATGAATTCCTGGGGAGGGTGCTCCACCAAAGCTGGTGCCTTGCCTTGGGCACACAGGTACCCATATGGTTGACACTGAACATGGAAACCACCATTCATTATTCACAGCCAACACCGTGAGCGGATTTTTTATCTCAGAGGTTGTCTGGCTGCTTTCTGTGTATTTGCTGCTAAAGTCTATACTGTTAAAAGTACGGGTTTTAACACCACTTTGTCTTGAAAGGCTTATCAAATTCTGGGAAGAGTTTCAAAAAGGGAACTGGAATTGGGGGAACAATTTAACAGTAACTACAGTTGTTTGAAGCAAGTTCATAAACTAAATCACAAGATTTTTTTCTTTACCTATAGCTTCCCTGCCTATATCCTAGTAGATATTTATTAGTTACTAAATACACATTTCAGAATGATTTGAATGCGAATTGTATTTGTTGGAACTCCATCAAGATCTCTTCAATGGTCTTAGAAATGGTGCCATTCTGGGGCGCCTGGGTGGCGCAGTCGGTTAAGCGTCCGACTTCAGCCAGGTCACGATCTCGCGGTCCGTGAGTTTGAGCCCCGCGTCGGGCTCTGGGCTGATGGCTCGGAGCCTGGAGCCTGTTTCCGATTCTGTGTCTCCCTCTCTCTCTGCCCCTCCCCCGTTCATGCTCTGTCTCTCTCTGTCCCAAAAATAAATAAATAAAAACGAAAAAAAAAAAAAAAGAAATGGTGCCATTCTTGGGGCGCCTGGGTGGCTCAGTCAGTTGATCGTGTCAACTTCAGCTCAGGTCACCATCTCACGGTTCATGGGT